GGGAATTGGACCCATTGGTCCTTCCCTGGTTCAAATATCTTTATTATGCCTTCCCTGGTTACCTGTAGTTATTCCTAACAATGTCCTGTTCTGGTTAAACCAACGCTTTGAAATAAACCTTACTTGCTTTGCAACGTGGAGTTGTTTTTTATGCTTGGGATCCAACAATAGCCCAGGCTAGCCTGATCTCATTATATCTCAGAAGCTAAGCACGGTTGGCCCTGGTTAGTACTTGGATGGGAGAAGTCCAAGGTACAGAGGCAGACAATGGCAATGAATGCTTCTTGCCTTGAAAACCCCATGGGGTCGCAATAAGTCAGCTGCAATTTGACAAAACTTTCCCACCTCCACTAACAATGTTTCTAATGTTCTTTTTAATTGTTCACCCCCCCCCCCCGTATGCCCTAATTGGGTGGGTTTTTGTGTAGTGGTGTGGTGGTTAAGTTTGCAGACTCTAATCTGGGAGAACAGAGTTTGATTCCCCACTCCTCCACTCTCACCTGGCTGGATGACCTTGGGCAAGCCATAGTTCTGAGGAGCTGTCCTTGAAAGGGCAGTTCTGTCAAGAGCTCTCTCAGCCCCACCTACCTCACAGAGTATCTGTTGTGGGGAGGGGAAGGGAAAGGAGTTTGTAAGCTGCTCTGAGACTCCAAGTGAAGGGCGGGGTATGAATCCAATCTCTTCTTCTAAATAAACAAAATACCATTGCTTTGAATCTAATTCCCATCTTCCCTTCTCACTGCAACCTGCATCTGGTTGTTAGTGGCCCTTCTGGAACAGAATCCGGGGTCTGCTGTGGAAGGAGGCATCAGCAGAAATTTCTTGCAGGTGGAAGTTCATGAGCAGGATGCAGCATATGGTCCATCCCCTGATCTTCTCACAGAGTCTCAATTTCAGATCATTTCTTTTCAGCTCACCTTTCTCCTTCATTCGATAATGGGACGATTGGAATAACTGCTCGGTAACTTGATAGCAAATTTGCCTCTTGTTTTGAAAATAGTTAAGATGCCAGTACCGTAGGCCTTATATGCGTTTTGAAAGGAAAATTGGCAACTTCTCACCCCTATAAACAGAAGCTCTTCCTGCTCATGGGTAGGTTCTTTGGATTCTGGCCATATCTAAATGATGCTCCTTACCTGCTAAGGAATTTTTATGGGTTTGTTTTTGTTATTCAGGGAACAGGTGGTGCTGTTTGCTAATTTGGTTGGTTGGCTATTTAATTTACAGAATAGCTGTGGGTTTTTATCCCTTATGTTTACATCTCGTGGACTATTGGTTTTCTTGGGCTGACAGGTTGATCGTACTTCTGGAATAGCCTCCTTTCTGTAATGCACTCCTGGATCCTCAGGATGTTATGTGAGCTGGGTTTATTTCCTTCCCTCTTTTTAATGGTTTCATTCCTGGTATATTACCACCTCAGAGATAAGAACCTCAGTGATACGGAGTGTATCAGGCAATGTCTGTGTATCAGACAATGAACACTTGATGTTGCCTTACACTGATTCAGAGCATCAGTCTATCTAGACTGTGGCCCGCAGCAGTTCTCCAGGGTCTTAGGCAGATAGTTATCAACTACTATTGGCTGAGCTCATTTGAACCAGAGATAGCAGGAATTGAACTTGGGGCCTTTTGTGTGCAATGTGCATACATGCAGTGGCATCTCTTTTCCTCAGATACTGTATTGAACAAGGCAACAAGTGGAAGAATGTTCTGTAAGTGGCAGGGAAGTCTTCTGAGTTACATAAATTTTGGAGCCCTTCAAAGGAAGAGTAGGAGACAAGATAACGTTTTTAGTTTAGTTTCTGTATGAACAGGAGTGTCATTCTCTCCGATGTCTGTGAGGCAGGGGCAATGTAGCAAATAACAAAATGTCTGAAAATATTCCACAATTAACAAGTGCGGCATGTTTGAAGATAATATGACAGTTCTAGTGTGTGTTTTAATATTGTATAGCGTAGCCATTATGGTCTCCAAAAACAGTTAAGAGGACCTTCTGTAGTGTTCTGTCATTAGTTATATGCCATTTGCTGTAAGCAAGACTTAGTGAACATCTCTGCCATCTGGTTGTTCATCTGCAGTGATTTTAATAGCTGACAGATTAAACAGCTGTATTTGTTCTGAAATAAGGCTTTGGTGTGAATCATGACAGATTGTCTGATACTACTTGAAGAAAATGCAGTTGCAGGTGTGATCCTGATTTGAATCACCATGGGAGATACAAGTATAGCTGTGAGATTGGTGAGGATTCTGAAGGGACTCTCTTCCAGAACAATGAGAGACAGGGAGTAGGCCGGAACGTGGTATTCTGTTAACATAATTTCATGGAAAAAGTGAGGTGCCAGTGTTATGGCTTGGCAGGGAAGAAGGCTTCCACAGGACAAAGTTGGGGAAAATGTATTAGCATGGCTATGGTGTGTTAAATTGCCACTATGTAAATTTAATACCAAACACTAACACATGTTATATCATATAGACACTTGAAATCCTCTTAGGCCAGTGACACAATTGGTGCAATGACTGGGAGTTAGAAATCACTGTCTAAACTTGCCTAGAGATTGCAGCAATATTAATTATAACTGTGCAGTGCAGTTCCTCTCTCTTTGTTTCTTCTCTAAACCCTACTTGCTGTTTGGGATGTTCAGTAGAAAACTCAACAGCCGAGATCTATCCCAAACCGCATCCATTCATAAGTGCTGTATGTGTTCCAGATCCCAATGGAATGATCTCCAGCATTCAGGAGCAGTGGGATGCATTCCAATCTGCATCCCACTGCATTCTGGCGACTCACAGTCGGGCTTCAGTTTTCTGGGAAGTGGGAGAGGCAGCGAATGGAGAGTGCAGTTATGAGCATGATGGAAATGTCATCTCACCAGAGCAATTAGCCTGCCTTCTGCCAAACTGCCTAATTCTGGGGTGGCATTGTGCTGCGAAACACTGTACCAGCTCACTGGCTTTTGGTTTCCATATTAACATGGTTCTTGTTTGTGTGAGCTATTCCATATTCTGGGGCTGTGCCTGCTAAGCAAGAGTAAACGTTTTGCTTGCGCATGCAGGCAGGCAGGCACAGCTGCAGAGATCCAGGCTTTGCTCCCTCAGTGCCTGCTGCCCTGCAGAAGAGGGCCGGAGGGTTAAGGCTTCTCCCCTTCCCTGATAGTGAACTACAAGTATATGTGCACATATGCCTAAGAGAGAGCAGTGACAATAAAGGATCAGATCATCTGTGTTAGAGAACCATTTATTCAGAAGTTGAGATGGGGCTACAAGGTCAGAGTCAGGGATCCCCTGCCTACAGTGGTGGGAGAAAAAGAAATCCAGAGTTTGAATTAAAACATCCACACAATGGGTCATGTACTGGTAGGGGCTATTTTTCTACAAGCATTGAGGAAGCCCCATGTTTGCAGAAAAATATGAAATTCTAAAAACATACAGTGTAGTGTTCAGAGAATCCTAAAATCACAGAAGCAATATGCTCCTTTAAGAAAATGTGACTGAGAACATGCAAGACTATGATGTGAGAGGCAGCCATTTTTGAGGTTGCTAGACAACCCTCAGTGAACATTGTTGAGGGTTCAAAGCCTTTTTGAGTGTCAGCATGAGGAAAGGGTCAGAGTGAGAGAAGTAAAAAAAAGATAAAGTTAAACACTGGAGAGAAGGTAAAACTGAGGGGGGAAGAAGCAAAAATAAAAAGTAAAAAGGGAAAGATGAAGAGAGAATGAGTGAGGAGGGCAGAGGCTGCTTGGGAGTGGAACAGAAAAAGTGTGTAGGAAGGGCTGCTGAGGGGGAGAGAAAGCTGAAGATGGGGAGAAGACAGAAAAAGGTAATAGTGGGTGGGGGAGATAGGGATGCCAGCCTCCAGGTGGGACCAGGGTATCCCCTGGAATTACAGCTCATCTCCAGACTACAGGGATCAGTCCCCCTGGAGAAAATTGATGCTTTGGAAGGTGGACTCTATGGCATTGTACCCCACTGAGGTCCCTGTCCTCCACAGGCTCCATCTCCAAATCTCCAGTAGTTTCCCAACCTGGCTACCATACCACCCCGATTCCCCTGCTGCTGGCAACCTTAATGGGAGAGAAGGAAAGGTGAAAGGCCCTGCCAGGGGCAGGCAAAGCGAAAAGGTGAGGAGGCAGTATTGTGAGAATTTCTTGGCCTCTAAGCACTGTTGTTAGCTCTCTAGATTATCTAGTTGGCCATAGTGTGTGGTAGAATGCTGATCCAGCAAGCCTCTTCTTATGTTCTTAAGGGAGAATGGGAAATGAGACCAGACACACACACCATGAGTCCATGTGGGTCTCCCACTTATCTTTTCTAAATACACTGCAGCCATGGGGGGGAACCTAATATACAAAATTAAAATATTGTGCTCATAAATTGTGCAGCTCTATTTTATACATGAAGAGAGTTTCATTGTCTTCAATGGGGGTTGCTTCCAAGTGTGTATAGAATTACATGTTTAGAAATAGTTTCACAAATCTCTTCTGAAGCATTTATTCCCGATGTGTATCCCCAGAGTATATGTAAGCAAATCTTCTCAGTATATAGTATTTAACCTAGTTGTGTCAAACGTCTTGGGGGCAATTCCCAAATATGACCGTTCCACTCTAGTATGCATATACTGTCCCAACCTTGTCCTGGTTTTGCATCTAGTCTACTGAACTAGAGAACAAACAAAAGATCCACACTGGAAAGGCAGGCTGGACTGTGAACTAGAGCAAAGCAGTAGCCAGTTCCGTAGCCACTCATTATACAGGAGTGCCACAGACGTCTTGGTTCTGGTGCTGATGGTTGAACACCCTTGTTTGAGTGACCAAAATGGAGTTAACAATGTCTTCTCATGTATGAGATTAAAGACTAACATAATGCAGTGTAAATAGCTGTTTTTTAAATCTCTAATTTCATCTAGGAGGATGATCTCTTTTCCTGTATTAATGCCTGCAGTTTTGTACTGGAAAAGTGTGAGTTTGCGTAGGATATTCTAAACCTTCCACTTTCTTCATTAGGTCAGTTATCTACTGGAGGGTGGTTCCATGGCCCACGAAGACTTCTGTGGCCACACGGGTAGACTGAATCCAGGAGATTTACAGGTATACTGGACTGAAGTTATCATTATCTTAATAAATGCCTTCCTAATTTTCCTACCCTTTTATTCCAATTGCATTTTATTTTATACTAGGAATAAGGTCCATTGTGGAAATAAATGCAATAAGCTTTAAAAAGAGTTGCTGGGTGGGTGCCCTGGCCTTGGGCACTCAGTGTCAATTTGCTGTGATGACCTCAGCAGGGTATAATGATCTCTGCCATCTGAAGAGCAGTTGTAATTCTGAGAGATCTCCAGCCCTCCCCTGGAGATCGGCAACAGTGGCACCCCAGGAGGAAATGGCTAGTTTGGATGGTGGAGTCTATGGCATTGTACCTGAGGTCCCACCCCTCCCTAAACCCCACCCGCTCCAGACTCTACCCCTCAAATCTCCAGCGATTTCCCAAACTGGAGGTGGCAACCCTATCTCCTTCCCAGTCAACCATCAACATACCGTTATCTGCCCCTCTGACTTCAGCATTCCATCTCCTCCCCCCTCTCTGCAGCCTCTACCTAGGAAAAGTACAGTCTTTCTCTGCAGTGAGGACCAAAACAACTCACATCATTCTCCTCTCCCCCTTTTGATCTGCACAACAACCCTATGAGGTAGGTTAGGCTGAAAGTCTGTGACTGATCCAAAATCATCCACTCGGCTTCCACAGCAAGAACCTAGGTTTCCCCCTGGAGAAAATAGCTGCTTTGGAGGGTGGACTCTATGGCATTATGTTCAGCTGAGGCCTCTCCCCTCCCCAAACTCTGGCATCCGTAAGCTCCACCACAAAATCTCCAGGAATTTCCCAACCTGGATCTGGCAACCCTAGTCAGGACTGGACCCAGTGAGTTCCCCCCAAAGGCCAAAGTAGGCCTGGAAAGGGCCTCCTGCCCCTGTCCTTTTACTGTGGGAAAGCGGGAGAAAAATCTGCTTCCCAATAACATCCAGGTCAAAGAAATTAACCTGTGTTCAAGGCACCAGAAAACAGACTCAGTCCTCATCAATAGTTAAGATTTTAAACGTAAGAACAATGGGTCCGAATATCAAATAGCACTAGAAGCCCAAGACAGAATAAATCAGAAATTAAAACCAGGCATAAAATAACCTCCCAGTCTTTTTGTAGGGTTGAGAAGACTTGGTCCCCTTTGAGGTGAGCTGGTAAAGAATAGTTTTAACAAATCTCTGGAAGGCCATGAGTGGGTGGCTGTCTGGGTTTATAAGAAGGAATTCTACCTCTACTGGTTGGATGGAGGTTATCCAGTGATGTTCATGGCAGTCCCCATTCAGCATTGTTTCTTAACCACTGTACCACACTGGCCCTTAGTAGTTTTAAAGATCCAGCAGCTCACAGCCTCTTCTCCTGCCCCACCCCACCCCCTCCAGTCATCTTGCTGGTGCAGAACTTTTGGGTTTTCAGCTAAAGGGTCAAATCCCAGAAACCAGATGCATAGCAAGGCTTCTATATGTTTTTAAAATAATAAGTGTACAAGGTGCAGTTTTGCATGACAAGCTGGAACCTGCCAGGGTTTCTGCACATCTACTACAGTACAGGAATTCTGCTAACTCTTGCATCAGTTAAGGCAGGAAGAGAGAAGAACCGACATATGTTGTAGAGTAAGTGGGCCCAGTTTTTCAGTTTAGGGATTACAAGTGGATCCTGGTTTGAAAAGAGTGCTTTTGTAGAAGTCACTGTTTCTAAGCCAACTATTACAATATTTTCAGAGGTATGCAGTATTTACTTAGTAGATAAATGCCATCATCCTGTGATCTACCTGAGAGTATTCTGTTTCGTAGCTATTTACAATTCATGCAATATGTTCAGCTCTGGTATCATAGCATGAAGTAGTTATATAGCTGTGTCCTATGGTATCTGTGAGCTTGACCTAAATGATTTTATTTTAGACAAGGTTGCTGTCTTTGAGTGAAGGTACAAATTCAGAGCCATTGAGTGATTTTGTGAAGGGGAAATTTCTGTCTTAAGCTTCACTTAAGGTAATGTGTTGTGATTCTCTGCCTTCTGTTCCCTTTTCTTCTTACATCTAGTGGATGACAGCTGGTCGTGGTATTCTACATGCAGAGATGCCCTGCTCTGAAGAACCAGCCCATGGCCTACAGCTTTGGGTCAACTTGAGAAGCTCTGAGAAAATGGTGGAACCTCAGTACCAAGAGCTGAAGAATGAAGAAATACCTAAACCTTCACAGAATGGTGTGACAGTGGCTGTCATTTCAGGAGAGGCTCTGAATGTGAAGGTAATAATTAATTAATTAATTATTATAATTATCATAAGGCATTGTGTGTAGAATAGCCAGGAGATCCTAAGATTGTCTGGCAGCCGGAAGTGCTAGTTCTTTTAGTGTTATGCACTGTTTTTAAGGCAAGAGATGTTTCAAAGGTGTTTTGCCATTGTCTGCCTCTGTATCATGACCCTGCTATACCTTGGAGGTTGCCCTTCCAAATACTGGCCAAGGCTGACCCTGCTTAGCTTCCAAGATATGACGAGATCAGCCTAGCCTGGACTATCCAGGTCAGGGCTGAATGTAAAGGTAAAAACATTTCGTAGCAGACTGATGAAAGGTAGAGTCTTAAAACATGAGATGGTCCTGCAGGTCATTTTCTGGTGTAACTGAATTTACCCTCCTGATTTCCAGTAGTATTTTTAAAGTCAGCCCTCGATCTCAAAAAAACATTACACCTTTCTTATTTAAAGCATCCTTCTCCAGGACAAGAAACACACTCTTTGATCTGTCTGCCCTTGCCTTGGTGAGTTCCTCTGCTGCTCTTTGCTGGCATGCGTGGTGGTGGGAAGTGCTGCCCAGTCACAGCTGACTTACAATGACCCTGTAGGGCTTTCAAGGCAAGAGACGTTCAGAGGTTGTTTCCCATTGCCTGTCTCTGTGCAGCAACGCCGGACTTCCTCGGTGGTCTCCCGTCCAAATGGTAACCAGAGCTGACATTGTTAGCTTCCACGACTGGGCTAGCCTGGACCATCTAGATCAGGGCTCAGGCAGGCATGCAGGCTGTGTAAAGAAGACTTGCTGCTGAGGAAGGATCCTGATCTCCTGTCCATTGTTAACAAGCAACCGTGGTATAGTGGGGAGTGGAGTAGAAGCAGCAGTTCTTCCAAACAAGACTATCTACTTGGAAGGAACAACTGTAACTTATTCCCTGTCAACTCCAGGTAGCCTTGTTTGGAAGAAAAAGCTGTGGCCTGCTGGGTGGGGAATCAAACTGCATACCCTCCTGTCTCACATCGATTCACTAGCTGGAGAGGAGCAAGGGAGCTCATAATGGTGGCTCATGTGCGTTGAAGGGGAAGTGAGAACCTCTTTCAGGCACTCACTTCCCACACGCCTTTTGGTTAACCTTGGAAGCCAATAAAAAATTTTGGGCCACCATGAATCTGTCCCAGAGGGATATGTGTTTTGTATCTGACTTCACAGTAAACTTTAATGGCAAGCAACTCTGAAGCACAGAGAACGCCAGTGGCAATCTCCCATCCATTTCTTATGCTCCAAGTTCACAATAGGGCAGCAGTACCGCATATAGACTCCTGCCAACCTAGCAGTTCGAAAGCAAGAAATTGCAAGTAGATCAATAGGTACCACTTCGGTGGGAAGGTAACAGCGTTCCATGCACCTTGGTGTTTAGTCATGCCGGCCACATGACCACGGAAACGTCTTCGGACAGCGCTGGCTCTTTGGCTTTGAAACGGAGATGAGCACCGCAAACCCAGAGTCGGATTCGACTGGCTTTCGAGCAAGGGAACCTTTACCTTTACCTTACCGCATATAGAAGATCTGTATCCACTTGCCCCTTCTCCTCTTACTCCTCTGAGCACACAAGCTGCCTATTCTTCCTCCCTTCATAGATGTTCTATATGCTAGGTATCTCTCAGATGTGTGTTGCCTCCCTCAGTTTGTCCACTCTTGCGTGTGTTCACTGCCAACTCGTTGTATTAATAACAGACCTTCACCATGACAAGCAGGTTTTGAGAAAAGCCAGTGTGGTGTAGTGGATAGAGCAGCGGTCTAGGAACCTGGGTGACCCAGGTTCGAATCCCCATTTCTGCTATGGAAGCTCGCTGGGTGATCTTGGGCCCATCACACTGTTGAATGAATGCCACGAGATAGACTATTGTTAAAATTGCAGTCTTAAAAAAAAATACTTTAAGCTCATGATAATGAAGTCATGTTTTTTATTTGTAGCAGAGAGGCAAAAACCAGTCAAGGCCTTGCCAGCGTAGGCTGAAAATCAGGGATTGTAATCTTGGTATTTAAAGCAGCATTTTATTGGGTATTTTATGAGCTAGTCTGTCTCACAGTGATGGAGAAGCATGTAAAATAAGTGACCGAGTCTCGTCCTATATAACGTTGAGGCATGCCTTGGTTATATACTGGAATGCGGCTTGCAGAAGTAAGCCAGCCGCCTTTGTTCTTGGAGTGAACCCACATCCACTTCCAATCAAGAAAGGTTACAAAGGAAAAACAAGCAGCACAGCTTGCTAAGCCAGTGTGAGCTGGCCCCACACAGAAAGCTGAAGCCCACCCCTCATTTTCAGAGTTGAACCCTGACCTCTCTGCTCTGCCTTTGCATTCCACTTCTTTGTTTCATTAACTGAGCTGCTATCTATGTAAAAAACATTGTGGCCATAGCATTCC